ACCCTAAAACCTAACCCTAAACCCTACAACCCTAAACCCTAAAACCCTAAACCCTAAACCCTAAACCCTAAACCCTGAACCAGGAGCTCCTCCGCACAGAGCACGCCGTGCGGAGCCTCCGCGAGCAGAAAGTGCAACTGGAGCGCCGATCCCCTGGGGCTTTCGGTTCTTTCAGGGCCTCTGGGTTTAGGGTTTAGGGTTTAGGGCCTCTGGGTTTAGGGTTTAGGGTTTTGGGTTTAGGATTTAAAGGGTTTCGGGTTTAGGATTTAGGGCCTTTGGGTTTAGGGCAAAAAAGGGTTTCGGGTTTAGGATTTAGGGCCTTTGGGTTTAGGGCAAAAAAAGGGTTTCGGGTTTAGGATTTAAGGCCTTTGGGTTTAGGGCAAAAAAGGGTTTCGGGTTTAGGATTTAGGGTTTAGGGCAAAAAAGGTTTAGGGCAAAAAAAGGATTTCGGGTTTAGGATGTAGGGCCTTTGGGTTTAGGGCAGTTTCGGGTTTAGGATCTAGGGCCTTTGGTTGTAGGGCCTTTAGGGTTTCTGGTTTAGGATTTAGGGCCTTTGGCTTTAGGGCAAAACAGGGTTTCGGGTTTAGGATTTAGGGTTTAGGGCAAAAAGGGTTTAGGGCAAAAAAGGGTTTCGGGTTTAGGATTTAGGGTTTAGGGTAGATAGGGTTTCGGGTTAAGGATTTAGGGCCTTTGGCTTTAGGGCAAAACAGGGTTTCGGGTTTCGGATTTAGGGTTTAGGGCAAAAAGGGGCTTCGGGTTCAGGATTTGGGGTTTAGGGCATTAAGGGCATCTAGGGTTTCGGGTTTAGGATTTAGGGTTTAGGGTTTGTAAGTTTCGGGTTTAGGGTTTAGGGTTTAGGGCAAAAAGGGGTTTCGGGTTTAGGATTTGGGGTTTAGGGCATCTAGGGTTTCGGGTTTAGGATTTAGCGTTTCGGGTTTAGGGATTGTAGGGTTTCGGGTTTAGGGTTTGTAGCGTTTCGGGTTTGGGATTTAGGGTTTGGGGCATATAGGGTTTTGAGCACATAGCGTTTAGGGTACACAGGGTTTAGGAAGTTTAGGGGGTTTAAAGTGGTCCTGTATGGTCTTCATAGAGGGTCCGACTAAATGTGTGGGGGTTTAGGGTTTAGGGTCTAGGGTTGTTTATGGATCTGAGAGCTTTCATTAGGATTCACAGGATTTCTTCCTGATAGTAGCTTACATCAACCTGCTATGAACACGAGCCCGAATCCTTGCTAGGGCGTTGGTTGAAAGCCTGATTCCCCAAACCATGCGCCAAGCCCCAAGCCAAAACCCAAACCTCGCTAGCCCCATAAGCTCTAAACCCCAGGTCCCCAAACCCTTAAACCCTAAACCCTAAGTCCTTAAACCCTAAACCCTAAAGA